CTACTACTACTTCTTCTTCTACTACCACCACCACCACCAGCACCACCACTACTACCACTACTTCTGCTACGGCGACGACGATGACGACCACTACTACTCCTGCTGCTCTTGCTGCTAGTGCTAGCATCAATGCACACATGCAGGCGCATGTATCTATGTGTTTATGTATGAGAATGTAACGTACTTGGCTTTTTGTCCGTCTAACCTGCCCACCTGCCTGCCTGCTTGCCTCCCGGGTTGGTCTGTCCGTCTGTCTGACTGCATGTATGCATGCAGATATGCACGTATGGATGTATGGCTGAGAAGCAGTATGGATGTATGGACGCATGGATGGATGGATGTACTCTACTGTACTGTCATGTCACTGATGTACATTGTCATTTCGGGTCATCTATCGTACCGCACCGTTCAATAATTTAATGTAATGCCATATGTACGAGTGTGTGTGTGTATATATATTTATGTATATCTATCCATATATATCTATATGATATTGACGTACTTTTACTTCTCAGCCCTATCCGTAGTGCTTCCTGTGAATGTACCCTAAGCAAACCGTACACAGCTAGTACTCCCAAGCCATAAGCCCGCAAGTACCTAGGTACGAAGCTCTCAAGGCCGATCCCGAAAGGAGAACTGACGGCTAAGGGATTTGGGCTGCTCGCCGAGAGTCGCATCAAGAATAAGAGAGTATCATTTGCAGTCACTACTTGCCGGAATGGTGAGAGCTCAAATCCCACAGCCTTGAGACGCCAAAGACTCCGCACCGGATGCCCCGACACTACTCGAAACAGTGCCGGCAGTAAAGTGTCTTGAGAAGGATTCGCATTCAGAGGGGTTTATCATAAGAGCTTGCCTGCTTTTGCAACTCGTAAGGCTTTTGGAATCAACAACCTGCGAATGAACCAGGTTTCCACATCCCTAAAGCCTAAACCTTCGCCCAGGTGGCCTTGAGATGCCCCTTCGCCCGGACAGTGGCCGCTCGTGGCCTCACGAATCCGGGCAGTCGCGCACTGACTTAATCATATGAATTTATATTACCAGTTGTTCCGACCCCTGTGATATTATTTATTTTCTTCTTTTATGTTCTGCTCATAGGTTGCATCTAGGATGAAAATGACGGAGATGTTGGCATGATGAGGATGAAAACGAAGGTGACGAGCCAAAACTGCTAAGGATGCCGCCGGTGATGGTCTTCTGCCAGTCATGGCGGTGATAGAGATGCAAATGCTGCTTCAGGCCAAGGTAAGGATTATGGTGTTGACGCAGCGACCTGATGGCTTCAGGCTTGCGTGTGACCTTTATCTTGCCAGACTCCGCTCCCGAACTTGACACGACGTTGGTGACGTTGCGTTATGAAACGCAGAATCCCGAAATTCCCCAACCGCCCCTATGCCCTAAACGCTAAGCCCAACCGCCCCAAAACCCTAAACCCGACACCGTAAAGCAAGCAGCTCATCTCGAAGCAAAGCGGTCTCCCCGAAGTAGTCGCCGGGCCGTAGAGTCTTGGAGGCTCTTAAGAGAGCATCTCTCATTGAGAGTTCCAGACTTTTGGTCTAAGCGACTGTTTCCGGTTCAGGGTTTCGGGTTTTGGGTCTCAGGTTTAGGGAGCCGGCTCCCAAACAGCACAATCCCTCTTTGTGGGAGCCATAGGGGCCTACATGCCAGGAACAGTGTTCGGGTGTAGTCTTCGAAATGCCTGCAGAACTTCGTTCATGAAAGGTGTTGGGCTGTTTTGTGACAGGTGGTGGTTCAGAGCAAGGGGCTTAGGATGTGGAACTCAGGGCCAGGGACTTGGACTTGGGGCTGCTTTTGGGGTTTTGGTTTCAATCTTGCGGGTCCAAACCGGGAAAGACAGTTTTTGGGTGTGACGGCACAGTATGGGGATTCAGGGTTGAGGCCGGTATTAAGGTCTAAGGAGTGGCGGTCCGATCGCTGAAGTGTGGGGCTTGCGAACTGGAGGATCTCAAAAGCGCGAGTTTAGTGGTGAAGCAGTTGTCTGCACAGTGGCCATTTTCAGTTTAAGTTTGAGGCCGAGCCTTTGGAGTTTAGGTGTAAGGGCTTAGGGTTCCGGGCTTTTGGAGTAGGCCCCTCAGTATGGGCGACCGTGCTCCAAAACTCCAGAAGCTCGTGGGGATCCAGGGTTTATTCAACCCAAACCCGGGATCCCAAGAGGCTAAAGCGCTGTCACGGAGCCACAGGCGTGTCACCAAGCAGGACCTCCGCCTCTCCTTCCTGCGATTGCTGGGTTCAGGATTGCAGAGCAGCTCCTTCTTTGTGTAGACTGAATGGTTAAACTCACGAACGGACTGACAAACAAAACACACAGATGCGTCAGTAAGAGCAGCAGCGGCAACAAGACGAATAGCGATACCAACCATATCAATGCTAAGCCAAGCTTTTGGAAATTATTACCGAGCAGATAGGCGCATGAACAGAGTCTTCCCCAAACATACTCCAAGATCACTGTCCTGTGGAGGAAAGCTGGACAGCCGGCTAATATCTCGTAGGGAAATGCTTATGCAAAGGAATCCTTATTACATGTGTATGTGTGTATATATATATATCGCTCTCTCGCTCTCTCTCTCCATCTCTGTATATCTGTGTCTCCCGAATAATGCATGATGACAGCCCCCAAACCGCTAAACAACCCTACAAAGCAAGCCCCTACAAAACCCCGAAGCAAGTCCCATCCGGACCTGGATCACAAAAAGCTCGTCCCCTTCCTCGCCTTGTCGGATGATCACCTCTGCGAGGAAGCTTTCCTACAGCTTAGGGGCCACGATTTCTGCTCAACTGATCGCCATTTCGGCATCACAGTTCCCGAAGACAAAGAACACACCTGAAGTAGCATCCGAAGTCTCTGGTCTTCATGACATAGGTCTCGAAAGCACCCTCAACCCAATCTACCTATCCATGCATTTAGTTTATCTACACAGCTTCAGCTTCTGAACACCTCGAGTGCTCGGGCACTTCTAGCAGGAAACCTCATGGTTGACCCAGGCCTTGACGAAAGTAGGGTCTGGGGTGCAGGGCTAAGGGCGCGTGATGGGCTTCAGACTTTAGATATTTCGTCCATTAGCCTTTGGGGTTTACGGCTAAGAGTTTGTAGCCTTCGACGATAGCTAGTTGGGGGTGGTGGCCTCGCACCTCACAGAGTCACATCCTTCGAAACCTGCAGCTGGCCGCAGCGACTTTGCCTCTTTTGAGGGCCTGAAGGATTACGATGCCTGGAACTCTCAAT